GGGGGGGGGGGGGGTCTTGCTATGTTGCCCAGACTGGTCTCGAACTCCTGACCTCAAGCAATTCTCCCATCTCTGCTTTCCAAAGAGCTGGGATTATAGGTGTGAGCCACCCTGCTTGACTGGTCAATCTATTGTTAAAAGTTGGCAATTGATACAAAATTACATACACATACACTGGGCTAAATAAAACAGCTCAGGTGCGGTAGTTGTCAGCAAGATTGGGACTTCTGTATCCATAAATGATGGCCACCCCAGGACACACTGGGAAGTTAGCAGCACCCAGAGTCAGAACTTAGGGATCCCTGCAACTATTTCTATTTTTCGGTCATACCTGCAGCCACACTTCAGCTCTTGGCAAGACTACGGATTTCCTCTAGCTGATTCCTCTCCCGGGGGGGATTCTGCTCCTTAGTGGGACCCAGGGCCTTCCTTGCAACTTCATTCCCTGGCTTGGAGGAGGAGGAAAGGGAGGGGTGGAGGTTGAATCTAGGCAAGTCAGGAAAGATGCTTATCAGAGTCACCCAGGGCAGTGGATTTGGAAGTTGGAAGAGGCCAATTGGTTCCTCTGCTTTCTTAAGGTGAAAGGTCAAACCAAGCTGGATGGTGTCAAGTCAAGAAGGCTCCCTCCAGGTACATGAAGGTCTGGGATGAAGGGAGTGGTGTGTGTGTGGGGGTCGAGAGGGAGCTGTGGATCGCGGGCCAAATCAATGACTGCACTCGGTCTCCACTCAATTAAAACGGAAAGCCGGAGTTAGTCCAAAGTATGGAAAACAAATCCTCCTGGCGTTTTGTTTTCTTTCGAGACCAAACATAATGGGAAGCCTCCCACCTTGGCCCCAAAGCAGAGCATTTTGACCAAAGGCAATTTCCTGTCCTCTCCTCCTGTCACATGGGTTGCAATTTTTCTGAAATCAGTATTGGAGAGGAGTAGAAGCAGAGAAGGAACTCTGAGGATCGCAGCCCCCAAGGCAGCTCTCCCTCTGGCATTGGCTGACGGGGGTGGTGGTAGTGGTGGGGGTTTAGGGGCGGAGGAGTAGGGCGGATGGGAAGGAGACGCTGATGCCAGTTCCGGGCTCCCCATTCCCGGACCCAGCGAAGCCCAACTCATTCCTGCCCCTTTACCCTTTCGGGACACATCGAGTGAGTCCCCAAAGGGGGCGCCCATAGCTTTGAGTCCCGCGGAACCGGAGGGCCCGCAGCAGGGCAGCCGGGGGCGGGATAGGGGTGGGCGAGGGCTACCCCCTGCTCTGGGCAAGTGCCAGACCGCAGGGAAGGCAGTCCTCATTTCAGGCCAGCCTCTAGCCTGTCCTTGGCCGCGGCGGGCGCCCAGGGCTCGCTCAGTTCTGCTAGCCCAGCTGCATGACAATGACGGCTGCAGAAGCCGAGCGGCCGCCGAAGGGACCTGGCGCGCAACGGGCCATTAAGCCCGGAATGGCGGCGGGGTGGGGGTGGAGGAGGGGATGGGGAG